TGAGCAATGATAATGTCTTGGGCATCTTCACATTTTAATAATGAAAAGTACAACTCTACATTATAATTTACACTTCTCAAGCAGTGGTGGTTTCGGTTTTTCTTTTTGTCTGTCTTTTCCCCGAGTGCTTGAAGGAGTATTCCTGATTTCAGCCCCGATGTTTATTTATGGTCAGGATGATCCGAGTGGCGACTGGTGAGGCACCCTACCAGTGAGAGGACTTCCTTGCAGGTGAGGGGGAGAGAAAGACTGGTTCAGAGTCCTAGTCTGCCAAGGGTTTCCACTGGGATCTAGGAACGAATTATCTTGAAAAGCCAACATTCCATTCTATTTGTGAAACCTATTTCCAAAATTTGATAGAGTGCCTTGGTAGAATGCCTGTAGTAAGTGGACGGGGGATACTTTTAAAAAGTTCCTTTAGCAGCATTTTTCAAAGGTAGTTCTCCTCCCCTCCCCCTTTTGACAGGTGGACATACTTAAGACATTATAAAGGCTGTTCTTCTGCAGCTCCAAATTAACTGCCTCCTTTTTCCTCCCGCAAAAAGCAGCGGACTCTCTTCAGTAATTTCTGGGCAGGTTTACTATGATTGTCCCAAGAGGGTTGGCTTACTTGTTGGTTTAATTAATTTACACATCTCTTACTATCTCCAACTAACTAACTCCAGACTGTGCTGTTTGGGGGGGGCAGGTTCTGTATGAAACTATTGTTTAGGTGTGCTCCGTTGCCGGCGAGTCTACAAAATGTACCATTTTAAAAATAAGGTGCATCTGGACTTCAATTTTGTAAACACCAACTGGGAAATAAACCCCATTAAACTCAGTGGAATGTACTTCTGAGTTGCCAAGCATTGGATTATGTTAAGTCTCTGAAGTATTTTAGAAAGAATATAGAGAGTTTGTGAATAACTCTGGTGGCCGATCCGGAGTTGGTGGAGTGGAAAAAAATGACATTTCAACCTTGCCTTTTTACCTAGAAATAAATTAGAAATGAAAGGAGGCAGATCTCACTTCAGGCTGGTCTACACAGGTAGACCATTTTCTCAATTTTTAGTACTGTAGTTTGCTTTTTACAAACATGGATCAGGGGAGAGACTTATAGGAAACTTTCCTTATCTGTCCTTTACAACATATCAGAGTTAACTAAATATTCAAGTTCCAGAAGAGGGCTCAGTTTGTTGCGTTCTTGGCAATTAATCACTAACTGCAATTAAGTACTTTATCTCATTCTTCGAACACATCCTTCATTTCTATAATCGGATCAGAGTCATTGCAATTAAAGCAAGGAAGAGTTAGGCTGTTGCTTTCCAAATGAAATCCTTCTTTTTATCATCTTCCTCCTCCTTTTCCTCTACAAAAAGTTCCCAATTTACTGCTTATTGGACATACTAAACACATTTACACCTTAACAGTGCAATCTGGGTATAACCAGCAGGAAGTAGAATCTTTCCATTCCTTGGGGTCTCCTCATCAGGACGGCTGTTTTTTCCTTGACAAAACTTTTAGAAAGGGTGGGTCTTACTTTTGAGTAAAACTTGGGGCTGTCCTGTCGTTTTATGTTTCAGATTTCTCCCTTTCTCTCACTCAAGGTCTTTCTATTTTTCTTCTGTTTGTGTGCACGCATGCGTGAATGGAAAGGGGTGCAAAATGAAGGAATCTCTCAGGAGTCAACGTGGCTGTCTTTTTCTTTTCTTTTCTTTTCTTTTCTTTTCTTTTCTTTTCTTTTCTTTTCTTTTCCTTCCTTCCTTTCTTTCTTATTTATTATATTACATTGACATAATCATAAGCGGAGCTTCACGTTCCTCTTTTTCCAAAGTTACAAGCCTGCCTTGGTGTGCATTTTTAAGTTAATTAACCTGCTAAAATTGATTTCTGTTATCAGCCAACAGCTCCCTATCTTAGCCAGATCAGCCCCTTTAAATGAGATAGTGCTGAACAATTTATGAAATGAAAAACTGCTTAAGACAAGGCAAATAAATAAAGGGGGTCTTATGGCTCAGGAATAAACTGCTGTGAGGAAAGAAAGAAAGAAAGAAAGAAAGAAAGAAAGAAAGAAAGAAAGAAAGAAAGACTTAACTTCTTAAGAAGTTTTAAAATTAATGTTTCTCTCAGAGAATGAAATTTGCAGATTCTTCATTCAGTTTTCTTCACTTAATTTTTCTGATTCCTTTTAAGATGTGCTAACAGAAATGAAACTGTAAAATCCAACTGTTAATTAAAACTATATTTCATTGAAATGAACATTGTAAATAAACTTACATAATCTGGAAAAAGATCAAAGTCAACTTTTAATTATTTTTGTCTCATTTACTCAGAAATCACTTTTAAAATTAACTGGCACAGTTTAGTATTTCTGGACATAATTTTAAACCGAGAGTACTCTTTCATTTATATATAAACTCTTATATCTCTTACATGTACTGTCAGATGTGTGTTGTTATTTTATTCAGTTTATTCTCCTGACTGATATATGACTTGATTTTATAAAATCAATTGCCAAAATCATTAAGAGCATGTCTTCGGTGTTTCATGTTTTAAAAATGTGTATCAACTTTTTAAGACATTCAAATTGTTCTTTAGAAAAGGATGTCCAGTGCTCTCTGTATTTCTTAAAGAAAAATTAAATTAGATCTTTTGAATTAAGACTTGGTTTTCTCCATTCTTAGCAATAGCCAACCTATTGAACACCACACATTCTTAGTCACTTTGATTCCACAAGTAAAATTCACTAAGATTGAGGTCAGAGAAGGCTGATAATGAAACAATTTGTCTATTCCACCTTGACCTTGGACTTTGCCTGGTTTGATTGTTATGTGTGCAAAAGTGTAAACATGAGTTGCGTGTGAAGCCTGGATGTCTCTTTTGAAGACATTATATTTTCAGCAGAAACTTCAGATGATTCTTTGGTTGAAATATTGGATAGATTTTCCAGCTTCACCTCACACCAAGGTGTTTTATTGATAGCAGGCAGTAATTATCTTGGAAGTGCAGAAAGAGTAATTATTCCTGCATTTATTGATAATTCTCCTTAAATTCTGGGAGCGAAAAGCTAATGTGCCACTACTGTTCCTTAATATAGGAAAATATTGATATTTGACTCATAGGTGGGTATCATGGAACCTGGATATTCAGCCTTTTTGGCTGTACAGCTCCAATTATATTAGATTGGATTCACTTATTGATTTATGTATTTATTATAGTAGATTCTTCTTGATCAATAAGTTAACTTTGTTGACTATAGCATCTTGGAAGCAATAGCCCTACCTATCTTTGTTTGAAATAAAAGGCACCGAATTCAATGTAACTTGGTTTTGAGTAAACCTACATGATAGCTATAGGCAAGATTTGGCCGCTTTTTTTTTTCTCCACTCCACTTTCCTTTCTCAGAACTGTATTTTTCCCCACACCACCAAAATCCTGGTTCATCCTAATATTCACATTTGTCAAGATTATTTTGCATAAAATGGGGATGAAGATCGAGGAGGAAGATAGGAAAATGGAAGATCCCTGCTCCTTTTAAGAAAAATTTCCCATGGTTTCAGACACAAAATTAGGAGAATGTTTAAAAGGGGGATACATGTGTCCCTGAGAAGGAAATAAACAAATTAACTGATCCCATCATCCAGTACTGCATGCAAAGTGTTGGGGGCCAGCGTGCATTACAGCCATCAATCTTAGGAAGAGTAGCTTGCAATCCTTCTATTTCATTATGAGCCATCCATCTCAGATTCAGTTTATATTGTGTACACTCAATTGCACTTATTGTAATTTACACACACATACACACCCCATGCACGCACATGCTAATCAAACTTCAGACCACATATATAGTACACACAATCATTGTTGCACTGTTCAGTTACAATATTAAATTTTAATATAATCACACAATATAAACATAACCAGTCTCTTTGAAATAATCAATTAATTGAACACAAAGTAACAAACATTATTAGGCTGGGCTCATAGAAGGAATACATCTACAGAAAAAGTTGAAGTGTTTCGAAAGCATCTAAGAAGTTATTGTGGGGTTGGTGACTCCTTTCTGTTTTTCCTATTGCATTTATTTCCTTATGCCCCAATAATGGTTTGTTTGAAAGATTTTTAAAAATCAACAAAAAGAAGAAAAAAAAAGCAGGGGAAACTAGCAAGCCAAATCTCAACTGCACCCTTTAAGTGAAAAATAAGATATACTGTAGCATTGTTTAGGTTTCTAATATTAATACAATTTTATTGGACACTTGAAGCAAACAAAGGATTAAAGGTTTTAAAGACGCTCTCCTTCGAAAAATAAGATTCTTAAAAAAAACATTTGGACTGCGCAAAACTATCAGCTGATACACATATGTTAAAGCAAGCAGATATGATCCCCCCCCCTCACTCTGGAGACCCGAGAGAAGAAAAAATCAATTTCCGGAACGATAAACGTCCAGATTCCTTAGTTCCCGTAAGATCCAAGAGTTGATTCCCAGAAACAGGAGCGAGGATGGGGGGGGTGGGGAAGGTAAACCAGCCCAACCGCACCTAAGCATTACAATAAGATTTACCCTTTTCCAATTGCTGTTGTTGTTGTTTTAAAGCAGGTCTTTTTGTGCTAATATTCCGCAGCTCTCCTTTTTTTTCCCCTTGTAAAATTACCAAATCCTTGATCCGACCCCCCCACCCCCCAATCCCAGATTTTCCTTCACTGCATTTTCCTTATTATGACAATTAGTAGGGGTTTTTATCCAATCACCTCTTTTATATTTAGCGCTAAGGTGGGTTCCCCCCCACCCACCCACCCAAGATCCGCAGGCCCAATAGAGAGCTCTTTGTGTCGGCCAAACATAGACCGCCATCCCCCAACCTTCCCCTTATTTATCTCCCCATTCTCTTTTACAATCAATGGGTGACTCACTTTGCCTTTAAAGATTCCTACTTTCTGTCTCCGGGAGGCAGCCAATCGGAGGCCTCCGGAGGTCACGTGGCCCGGCGGATTTCTTAATGAAGCCGACCCATCCCGCCGCCTCTGCGCATGCTCCCGGGTAAACAATATGTTGGGGACTTGTCTCTCTCTCTCTCTCTCTCTCCCTCTTTCGGAAGTCGAGTTTTTAAAAAGCTCGGGCAGACCATGATATGACGACTTCGCTGATTTTGCATCCACGCTGGGCGGACACTTTCATGTACGTGTATGAGGAGAACCCGAATGAAAATAACCAGACTAAAATCCCAGCCATGGAAGGGCTCAGTGGGAACTGTCCAACGAGCCACTGCAGGGATTTGATCAGTCACCCGGTCCTGAGTCGTCATTCCAGCACCATTGGGACTCACCAGGGTTCCGTTTACACGGAAATACCTGCTCCAGATGCAGCCAGGCAGTGTCCCGCGCCTCCCGCCTCTTCTAACGCCACTTTAGGCTACAGCTATCCCTTTGGAGGCAGCTACTACGGATGCCGCCTGTCCCATTCCCACAACGTGAACTTGCAACAGAAGCCTTGCGCCTACCATCCGGCTGAAAAATACCCCGAGCCCAGCGGCTCCCTCCCCAACGAAGAACTATCCTCCCGGGCCAAAGAGTTTGCTTTTTACCCGAGCTTTGCCAGCTCCTACCAGGCGGTCCCTGGCTATTTGGACGTATCGGTGGTTCCAGGTATCAGTGGGCACCCCGAGCCAAGACACGACGCGCTGCTCCCCATGGAGGGCTACCAGCACTGGGCTCTTTCCAACGGCTGGGACGGGCAGGTTTACTGCGCGAAGGAGCAGTCGCAGTCTACCCATCTCTGGAAATCGCCTTTCCCAGGTAGGGTTGCTCTCCGCTCGACCTCTGGGCTCTCGGCTCCGCCACTGATTGCCTATTTAGGCTGGGTAAAGCCTAGCACAGGTAAACTTGGTTGGTAGGAGGAGGCGGTTCCTTGGACGCGGATGGCGGGGCGAAGGGGCCGCGGGGAGCGGGAGCCACGAGAGAGACTTCAACAAAGCGCAGGCTTGGAACTCTTGCGCGTTCAGTTTGGCAGCTGCAGCCGGTGGGGAGAAGGAGGGTTGCGCGGGCGCGCCGGGTTTTTAATCCCTCTCTGCCTTGGTCCCCCGGCTGGATATTTTGATTATTATTAATTTTTTTTTGCCTCTTCGACTTTAATTTTGCAGGAATGTTTAAAATCAAAATTCTATATCCAGAAAAGCAGCTGGATCTCTTCTTCTCCCCTCTCCGCCCCACCCCTTAAACACCACCAACCTCACCCTCCATGGAAAGGCTGGGCTTTTCAAAGGGACCCAGCAAATTGCGCTGTACTGCAGTAGTTACCAGAAGTAGCTGACAAGTGCCTCAGGGAAATGCGTCTTGTAAGGCACGAGGACCGAGTGGAAAAGCAAGAAAGGCCAATGCTTTTTCGCCTCTTTGGTTAGAAATCCGGAGTGAATGGCAGCTTACGAATGCCCCCCCCCCCGAAACCTAGAAACGCCTCGGAACCGACTGCCTCTCGTTTTAGAGAAGAGAGGAGAGACCAAAGATGGGCGAATGCCTTCTGCGTTCATTGGGGGGGGGTGTATCTTCACCTTGCCCACCCTCTCGGAAATTGGCCCAAGGGATGGGTTGGAGTCCCCAAAGGAGACTAAGTAAATAAGGTAGGAATCGGACGTTTATCTTGGCAAGGCGGGGGTGGAATATCCCGTCAGATGCAACGCTTTGCAAGATGCCTCTTGCAAAGCGTTGCATGCTGGGGTTCCCTTCTGAGAAGGAAGAGGAATTAGAGCTTAGCGAGATGGAAGGAAGGGAAGGCCTTTTTTGGGGGGGTGGATCTAGCTGGATTTCAGCCGCCAGTAGCGAGCAAACCCACCCGCCTCCGATTCCTTATGCTAGAGAAAGAAACGGTCTATCTTGTCAAAAGCCGTTTTCTTCATAAGTGGTTTTTGTCCCGCCCTCACTCCCCCGGGTGAAATCTGCTTCGAATATCTCCACTCTTATCCTCGTTTCATTTTCGTGAAAGTCTGTCCTCTTCTCCTTGATGTGTTTCATTCAAGATTCCCTCCTTTTATACCCCCCTGCCATTCCAAGCCAGTCCCACAACCCTCCCGTTCTGGATATTAAGGCCTTAATTTTAAAAAAATCCCCAAGGAAGACTATCATCCGTACAGAGATTGACACTTCTCCTCCTTTAGAGTTTTTTTAAAAAAAAAATAGGACTGGAATATAGAAATTACAGTCTCTAAATAATGGGGAAAACATTCCAGAAATATTTCTTTCCTACCAGCTATGAACGAGGACGGCTCAGAATTATTAGTGTTCTATTCTCCTCCACTGGAATTCATTTCATTGTTGTTATTACCGCTACTATTGTGCGCATTTTTAAAAAAAAAAAAAAAAACCCGAAGTAGCGAATTTGACTTTTAAATCTCTGTCTCAGGAAGCCTTTGGGGAAATAGGGGGATAAGAATGGGGGAGACTGAACTGTGATTATAGTTAGTCATGAAGCATTGGCGATGGGGCACCGTGGTATAAGTAACTATTACAACAAAGACTGAATGCATTGGAGAGGAGAAGGCAGGGTCTCTCCAATGCATTCTGGAGAAGTGCAGGAAAACAACAGGGCTTCCCAGCTGATAGGTACTTTCAAGGAAAGTAGAATATTTCCCAAGCAGTGAACTCAGTAGGTGAAGGTATTTAGCACTTATCATAAGTTAATGGCGGACTTGAAGAGTTAACTCTACGGGGCAGAAATGAGGATGGTCCTCGTGGTTCCCTGGATCATTGGGGGAGAGGGAGCGGAGGAGGCTTCCGAGCAACCTGCCTATATAAACAAGGGAAGTTGTGGTCTCACCGTGGCGCTGATCCCACAAACCTGCTAATCAGAACTGGAGCAAAATCTGTAACTGAAACCCACCTGTTAATGGCGGTTGGCGGTTTAGAAAGGAGGTTTGGGAAAGTTAGATTCCGTTTCCAGTTTTGTGAATGTTAGATTGCCCCACTTGCCAGGGTCCTTATCCGTGACTTGATGCCTCTTCTCAACTTGCTGTGCACAAATACCCCATGGAGTAAACCCAATGCATTGATGCATATCTTGTTCAGCCTGCATCCCATTTCCACGGACACATCTAATATGCCACTGGCTCTGTCCCACTCCTCGCCTCATGTACTTCCAAGTTCACCCCCCTCAACGTAGATCCATTTTTCATGCTGCCTCGCTTTCATTCTGACCGTCTTGCTACTTTTCCGTCTGTTCCCTTCCTAATGTCTGGAAGATGCATTGCCCAGCCAGTTGCAAGATGCTGTTTAATCTAACGCAACCCTCTCTTTTTCCTCTTTCTCTCTCTTTCTTTCCCCTCCTCTCTTTCTCTCTCTCTCTTCCTCCCACCTGGTTCGCTTCTCCACCTGGTTTCCTCTGCTCTGTTCTCCTCGTCTTCTTCACAGATGTGGTACCTCTTCAGCCAGAAGTGAACAGCTACCGTAGGGGCCGGAAGAAAAGGGTCCCTTACACGAAAATCCAGCTGAAAGAATTAGAAAAGGAGTACGCGGCCAGCAAGTTCATTACCAAAGAGAAGCGAAGGAGGATTTCTGCCACTACCAACCTTTCCGAGCGCCAGGTCACAATCTGGTTTCAGAATCGCAGAGTGAAAGAAAAAAAAGGTTATTAGTAAATCTAAGACATCCCACCTACATGCTACCTGACATAGAAATCTTTCAAGAGGGGGGGGGGAAACAAAAACAAAAATTTAAAAAAGGGAGAAGAAACAAATGCAAATATTTATCTGGTAAATTTGTACAAATAAAAAAAAAAAATACATTGAATGTGATTATTTAAACACCCGCACAGTCTCCAAGGAGCGTTTGGGGGAAAAAAAACCAAACCGCCACCTTTGGGTTAGTCTTCTGTCCATTTATTGCCCTTTCTTAACTGTGAAGCTGACTGCCTGTCTTAAAATCCATTTTTCGGTGTTCTTAAATGTTCACACTTTATTTTCACAGAGAAGCCCGGAGTGGAAAATTCTCTCTTCCTTTCCTCCCTCTCTCTCTCTCACACACACACATACAAACACACCCACATTTGCCACGTTGGGATTCGGAGTGAATTTGTTCTTTCTTTTCCTTCCTTCCTTCCTTTTGTAGGTCTGTATTATAGTCCAGCACTTTCCCTGTGCCATATTTTCCGTGTATTTGGCTGTTTTTTGTCTTTTTATGTTTCAAAAACAAAAAGCAAAAACTGTAAACTGTTACATATGAAGAATTATTCATGTTGGGTTTTTCTTTTCTTTTTTTCTTTTTTTTTTTTTTAAAAACTAAAATATAAAATGGGGAAAAAATAAGGCTGCTACTCAAAAGTGCTGAGGAGTTTCTTTTTGTCTGTGTTCCTTAAAACGCGCATTTATCATGATCAACTAACTTTACTCCATTCCTGAATTCAGAAGTCACTGCCTGGAATAACTAGAGTTGGGTCGGACAAAAGCAGGTTCTATGCTTTGGGGGAAGATGGGGGAAAAAAATAGATTAGACTTCCCTATTGACATAGCCGGGACTGAAAACTCCAGCAGGATCCGTGCTCTTAAGAATAATTACGGTTTTGATTTTCTAGATTATGGTCTCACTCCAGCTGTTTTATTATTATTGTGTGTTGGTTTTACTGCTATAAAATGGGAATGTTATCGATTATAAGGAAAGGTGCACGATAAAGCTCCGTGGATGGATGTTTGTTTCCTTATGTTTTTTCTGTGTTCTATTTCCCACGGAGAGCAGCGTTCCTTTCGCCTTGTTAAAATTACCCACTTTTTTAAACCAACGAACCGTCTTCTTGTATATGTATATAATGTTTTGTCCGAATGATATGTACTGAATATTGAATGCAGAAATACATTTCTTAAAAATAAACCGCTCTCTCTTTCTTTTGGCGCCACCTCCCCGCTTTTCCCAGCCTCGAAAACAAGACAGCCTCGTTTTACTGATCCGATTTCTCCCTTGATATCAGCAGGGAGGGGCTTAAAGTCCTACCTGGTGTCCATTTGCGATTATTCACCACCGCTACCCCGAGTTGTGAGAAAGGGAAAGCTTCCAGGGATCCCTAAACTTCTTTTTTTGCGGAGTTAAGTTCCATTGGAATCTATAAAGACTCCTCCAGAAAGAGAAAGGGACGATCAGGTCGGGGTTTTTTTGTTCTTGTTTTTTGTTTTTGCTTTGTTTCGTGGATCCGACATCTGGGAGGATTCTTGGAGCTTCCCCGCCTGATCGAGGCGATCGGTTTGGGGAGATTAAAAAACGGAGGAGGAGGAAGCGTGTCGCCGGACGGAGCAGTAGCAGATAGCAGAGAAAGGCAACAGCGAAGTGAGGCCTCTCCCTCGCCCTTCTTTACGAGACACTGACTACCGTTGTGGACTGAGCAGCATTTAGGGAGGTGGCTTTAAAAGTCAAATTACTTTGCTAATTAATTTAATTAATTAAATTAAATTAATTGATTTAGTTTCGGTTAGGCCTTGGTGATTTTTATTTCGGGTTGTAGTGATTTTGCCCTGCTTTTACGCCTTACCTTTCTTTCTTTCTTTTTTAATTGCGGCGAGCCACCGAACCGAAAGCGGCGACGGGGTGGGGTGGGTAGAAACTCAACAGCAAATAAATTAATAATAGCCGTCCCAAAGAACACTCGGCGGTTGCAAAAGTTCCGACCGAAGTGCTGCGTCCTGGGCCTCTTCCTAGACAAGAGGGAATCCCTCTCTACCTCCTCTTAAGTTTCCTGGTGCTTAAGGACCTGTTGCGTTGTTTCGCCCAAATTTAATCTCCCCCCCCCCAAAGAAATAGGAACCGCCCTGCTGAGCAGCCCAGCTATTTTTAAACAACCCTCAAAATAATCCCACCACCAGAACCCAGAGGGCCATTTCTCGGTTCGAAAAAAAACAAACAAGCCACGCATTGGACCGAGCTGACAAGGCCCTCAGCGGCCAAGTTCTTGCAGGCAAACTCATGCAGGATAGAAGAAGCGAGGCCCCGCGAAGGCCAAGCTTCCTTTGGATCGCTGGATTCCCACCACCACCACCACCCCGGACTCTTTTCGGTGGATCTGTTTTCTAAAGCCAGACTTTTGAGCCTATTCTAATTAATTACCTCGTCAGATTGCCAAGCGCCAGCCCCCAGAAAGCGCCGCAAGCCAAGGCCAATGTTAGTTTTCCATTCAAGAAGTGGCCGGGGAAAGGAGTTGCTGCACGAGCCGTCCTGAGAACTGCCCCCTTCTTACCAAACAAAGGTGGGCAAAGAGCCAGGAAATCAGTCAAGGGAAGGCTCGACTACTTGGCAAAAGTTTGCGCTGGCGAGGTTTCATTCTGCTTGCCTGTGTCCTCTTCCTGACTACAATTCAGCCTGCTGCTCCCTTTCCTGGAAGTCTACGGGGAATAAGTTTCAAAATGGCCTGGTTCTGCCTGGATGCCGAAGTTACTGTAAAAGAGAAGCCTCATCTGCCTGCAAAAGATTGCAAACAATTCTCTATGCTTTTTTTAAGCGTGCATCCACATACATAGTTGCACTTTACTTCTGTAGATTTCCCCTTCCAAGCAAAGGATTGGGGTCTTCTGGCTGCATAGCGTCCCAGAAACGAGGACCAATATTCAGAACCAGCCACCATCTAAACTTGTACTTAAAACAACAGGCTTATGTTCAGTGGTGGGATTCAAGTAATTTAACAACCGGTTCTCTGCCCTAATGATTTCTTCCAACAACCGGTTTGCCAAACTGCTCAGAAAGTTAACAACCGGTTCTCCCGAAGTGGTGCGAACTGGCTGAATCCCACCACTGCTTATGCTCTACAAATATCCTCTACAGATCAGCTGTTGCTGCTTTTAGAATTAGCTCAAGGAATGATCTGGAGAACAACAGGCCCGGCTCTCTCACTGCACGACATCCAGTGTTTTCAAGTATCTCTGGAATTCAGTATGTTTCTATATTTTAATCAAGATTTGCATTCTTAAAGCTTAGCACCATTTTTCGTAAATCGTGCTGAAAGCAGTTGGCGTCTTCCTGACATGAGGTCAAGACTTTAAAAGAATGGATGGATGGATGGATGGATGGATGGATGGATGATAGACACATAGACACATAGACACATAGACACATAGACACATAGACACATAGACACATAGACAGAAAAAAATCCATCTACTATTTAATGTAGTTAACCTAAGTAGATAGTGTGGAACATATATTTGCACACTTGCTCACCTCAGCTGGGATTTCTAGCCTCACAATGACAATAATTTAAAACCCTATATATTTCTGGCAAGTATACTGAATTTAAGTGACATAAAGACATTGTTATAAACCATGTCTCCCTTCTGATGGAATTTAACCTCCACAAGACTTCGGCTTAGTCAATCACCTTTCCTTGGGGCGATGTGAATGGGCATTTACAAGATAGTTGGCATTTTCTGAAGGTTCCTGATTTCCTCTTCCCAGACCCTAGTTAGAATTTAAATTCATAGATCAAAACACTCCCACTTTGGGCCAAGACTGTCATGTGACTTTTCCAATTCTCTGAATGAACTCGTTTTGAAAAATCATGGCAAGGAGTTCAGGATATTTAAATCACAAAACACTGAAACTATTAAGGCCAGTAGCAATCTGTTGACCATTTTTACATCATGGTTTGTAGAATCTCCTGGCATTATCACTGTGCAATATAAAGTATCTTTATTTTTATTTATTAAATTTCAACACTACCCATCTCACTTAATGACTTTCGGCAGTTTATAACATCTTAACTTCTGATGTACTGCCATAGTGATGACTGGATGCTACTGTAGGAAGTAGGATAATCTTTGTCAATTTTCATTATTATTAAAATTGAAAGAAATCTGACCGAATCTGAATATTCCTCTTGAAATAAAATGGTGTGCAAGGGATTGTTCCTTCTTTTTAGGATAAATATTCCTAATGGTAGGTCATTAGAGGAGAATGTCTATAACCAAAAAAAGGGGGAAGAGCTAGCTAGTTTAAAACATAGATATAGTAACAAAACAAAACAATTATGAGTAAGATTTTTGCAGTTTCTCCAGAGTTTCTAAAAGAGAGGTTCAATAGTTCAAGAGTTCAGTAGGATTAGTTCCCTCTCCCTTTTGAAGTCAGTAGGAGTAACCAAGCTAATATATCAGGCTCCTTTTTGCCCACAGATCAGCAAAACCAAAAATCCTGCAAGCAATTTAAGATTGCAATCTTGCATTTCCTTTACCTTGGAGTACGGACCAGTACATCTGTAAGACCTGTTGCTAGGTAAACATGCGTTGGGTTTTGCTATACAGATGCTCCTCAACTTACGACCACAATTGAGCCCAAACTTTCTCTTGTTAAGTGAGACAGTTGTTGAGTGAGTTTTGCCCCATTTTATGCTCTTTCTTGCCACAATTATTAAGTAAATCACCGCAGTTGTTAAGTTACTAACACAATCCAGTTAAGTGAATCTTGATTTCCCCATTGACTTTGCTTGTCAGAAAGTCCCAAAAGGTGATCACATGACCCCAGGATATTGCATAAGTAACTGACTCATAAATATGAGTTGTCCCCTATGACATCTTTGATATGAATCCAGCTTTGCTTCATAAATATGAGTCAGTTGCCAAGTGTCTGAATTTTGATCACATGACCATGGGGATGCTGCAACAGTATGTGTAGATGTGAAACATGATTCATAAGTTCACTTTTTTCATTGTAACTTTGAATGGTCACTAAATGAACTGTTGTAAGTCAAGGACTACCTTGTAAGGAGCTGCCTTGGCCTCATTCTATAAATGAGGCTGATGACCCCAGTGGTGTTTAAGTAGGTATTTAGGTTCCATTGACAAAATGTGTAACTTGATTCAAATACAAGTCCATTCAAGCTATATGTTAAGCTCAACCAGTGCACTCTAATGCAGGGGTCTCCAACCTTGGCAACTTTAAGACTTGTGGACTTCAACTCCCAGAATTCCTCAGCCTGAGGAATTCTGGGAATTGAAGTCCACAAGTCTTAAAGTTGCCAAGGTTGGAGACCTCTGCTCTAATGTGAAAGAAAGGGCCATTGATGTCAAATGGACTGGACTTCAAAACAGTATTTTAAAATTAAGACATGACTGACAGGTTTAGCAAGGTGATAGAGTCAAAAGGATCTTGAGGTAAGTTGGGGGAAATAACACGGAAAAACATATTATATCTAACCTTGGGCAAAAACTCCTTCAATGGAGGAGGTGACTTCAGATATCTTAGTTTGTCCCCTATGACATCCTTGATATGAATCCAGCTCTCCTTCAGCTCTGCTAGGTTTCTTCCATATGCCATAGCAGCCTTCATATTTACTGAACTTTTTCAAACAGATTACAGATCAAATGCTTGACTACATCTACACTTCATTGATTAGGTTGGTTGAATGAAAAATAAATGGGATTCACCAATCTCTTAGATTCCTGTCATTTTGTTGTCCCCTGACACATAAGCCTTATTGGAACTTTGTCATAAATAAAGGTACATGGGGTTATATAGGCTTAGACAGCTACCACTAGGCATCTTCTGAAGTTTGGTCTCTAGAAGGTCTGCCGTTCAATGTACCCATCATTCTATCTAAGAGGAAAAGGCCTTCTGGGTTATTGTAGCTATATGGAAATACAGATCATGTCTGCAGTAAGGATGATATTTCGGAAAAAAAAAACATTATATTGGGCAATATTGAGGCAATCTAGAAACAGATGCCACTGAAATATATCTACTGCTAATGTTGATGGCAACATTAGATTTTGGCTTCAATAGGGGTGTAGATGTCATCAGCTCTGAAGAAATGAATAAACTCTCATAACCTGAACCAAGACCTTAAGTATGTGACTATTACACACAGAACACATATTGTGCCATTTTTAATAGGTATT